CAGTCGCTGATACAATACACAGACTGCACAACAACAAGGCACCTAGAGAGAACGATATACCTGCTGAAATCTACAAGTCACGCGTTGACATTCTGGCGCTCTGGCTCTATGAAGTGACCGAACACGCGTGGACAAATGAGGTCATTCGCGCCGACAATGTCATTTAAAAGTTGATATCGGAAAGTTCCCCGACCAGTAGCATGTTAGATACTTCGATTGTAAACGAGGAGACCTCTCAGCGGCGAAAGACTCAAACAGTATATGTAGTTAAAGAGAATGAGACAATCCAGGTGACACCTTTCGGGTATGGATTTCCGACTGGAATGACTGTTCATCATTAGACGCTGACGAACCCCATGAACATTTATAATTAAAAGAGGGGTAATGGGCTACAGCTGTTTGCGGCAGTTTGCGTCCGCGCATTACAGTGGACCTGCATAGTTCGTCGTCTATGCCTAGCCGGCGAAGCCCGCGACGCCTGTCCAGCTAGCTGATCAATTAGTTGGAAGTAGAGTGCGACCTACAGTGTATGTTCTGAAGGCCTTAAAGGTTTGTGAAATTGGGATACACCAGATATTCGAAAGAGCGTTTCACAGTCACAACCGCTTCCTGCTGATCGGCTATTGCCCCCACCCACGATCTTGGCGATGGCAAAGCAAACTCGTAGTCAGGCAGGGCGGTTCGCATCGCCATCTGTGAATTCCGGTCCAAACTAAGTTGGTGCCGGTAAATCCTTGTCCACGGCTACCGGCCAGTCGCTCGAAAAAAGCCAGCGTGCGTCCGTTAACTCTAGATATTTCCGCGAGGTGGATCAGTCAAGCTCGCTTGGCAGCTGGCGTGCTGCAGTTAGTGTCCTTTTACCAAAAGATCTGCTTTTTCCCATTGCAGACGGAGGATAATGAGGCTGGTAATGGCTCAGCTTTCTTTTTGTCGAGTTTTAGTTCCGCAAATCCTCGCAATTAGCGGTTGTCGAAAGACACCACCACGGAGCGCGCACAATTTCTAATTGCCATGGAACATCATGATTTTGTTCTGGAAGTTAACTTTTCCCAGAAAGACGGCCGACCGGCTTTTGTGATCTATGATGGGTCGGAATTATGCCAGACTCAACTGTAGGCCAGCAGTCCGAAGCCCATACCATTCTAAAGGAAAAGCACTTGCATATGACTGCTTGAGTTAACAGACAGATGCACAATTACCACGATGGTAGTAACAGACCAAATTTCCTGATGTAAAGTCAATATCTCCTGAAAGTTACAGTATGCGAAGCTGGGCACATCAGATGTAGTGGTACTTGTGAGCTACTGGCAAACTGAATGGCATCTAAATGAAAAACACTATACCAATGTTTTAGGACTTTAGTTCGTGACGTATGGTGAGGGAGTGGATTAGACTCTGATGTATGTAAATATGGTATATATTGTCAGAGGCAACAGTGATACGAGAGTGCAAAGCAAATACCAATCCCCATGTGCCTGTATTAAATACTGTGCTACGTGACACAGTAATGGTGGCTGTGAAGTCAATTAACTAGGCCCCACGCAATGCACTGGAGCGAAACTAGCTCAAGAACACGAAACGAGTTGCAAGTTGAAAGAATAAACGAGCACGTGCTTACACTTTAATCGAAGGAATAGTTGGATCTCCCTGATGTAATTATCAACATCTGTGGAGGGACAAGTGGCTATCCATTGTTCAATGCCCCATCGGGAGGAACCCAGGTGGCAGACAGAATATATGCTGAAACCCGACTGTGATTGCGGAAACCAACGTCCAAAAGGACCACAGCAGCTCTCAAACCCTACTTTCTTCACTGATATCACGTTATCCATGTCAATATAAACATCTGAATTGGTAAAAACCTCAAGACGTCAAAAGTACTTTTCGTCCACTTCACCTCAACATAACATAGTGTGGGTCGTTGCCATCTCCATCTAATAGCGGTCGAGGATACCGTGAAATCCGAGACATTTTTTCCGAGGTATGCGCGGATTGGCTGCATTCAACTGCCAAAGGTCAACTATAGAAATAACAGGCAACAAACCCCTGTCAGTCCATCCGCCGAACTTACAGCCCAGTAAAATCACCTGTTTGAACGCACATTTGAAGATTTCCCAATTCTTCTCTCTTCTTCCCCATCCGAAAGTCTATAAAAAAGTATGCGTAGGCATAAAACTGAAGGTCATTTCAAACTTGGTATTTTAACCTGTCGCATTGTACCTGAAACCAAACTATGCATGATTATATTTTTTCACACTTTACCGCACAAATTGTCATGCATGCAGCCATTTGTGATAAAACTTGAAAAAGGTTTAACTAACTTACTTTACGGGACATGTTGTGTTCATTTTACCCATTTCGTTATTTTCATTTGCCATGGAGTGTAAGACCTCATCCGACCCGCAAAATCGCCGTGGTTTTCCATTCTTTGCACATATTTTCTGATTCGGATCTGTTTGTCCCAGAGTCCTGTCGGGTAAGAACCATCTAGCTCACCCAGGAGCCATTTGAAAAATTCGTTGTTCGTAACTTGAAGTAGCATCTCGGGGAAATTTACTCGTAATGTGTGCGCGGAGGAACATTTTCTTGTAGAAGAAGACACGATCGCCGGGACAAGAGTTTTATTAGCCTGGCGTTTCGGATTCCTGCTCGAATCCATCATCAGAGACAAAAGCAGATAAGGGTGGTTCATGCATATGCGGCTGCAGTATTTATAGGATCCAGTAGCCATGCTACCGCATACCTATGAATATTCACGGCTCCCCCCCCCTTCATCATGGATCGTTGCACGTGGCGTGATGGCAGACATTCGCGTCGTTAATTGCTGCAATTTCACCACGTGCGTTGGATTTTGGTGTGATGATTGCTTGACCATCTGACGCGCTGACCCGGGTGTTGGTAAGAGTGTTCACCTGTGCGCTACCCGCGTGGCCAATTACTCCGCCTAGACGAAGTCTCAGCACAAAGTATTGAATGGGAAGATCATTGCACTTGCTAATAGACTGGGGGCCAGTAAACCATGACTCAAGCAGCTCCAGGCTCACGCAGTTGTCAACTCTTGCGAGAATTTCGGGGTCGTCAAATTTGAATGTGTGGCCGGAACACGTCGAATGAGCCGAAAGTTGAGAGCTGGCGTCATTTCTGCGCATCGCTGCCGCGTGTTCGGCCATTCTCGTTCGGAGCTGTCTTCCGGTTTCTCCGACGTAGTTGCTTTATCCGCAACTGCACCAGATGCGATAAACGACTCCGGACGTTTTCAGCCGTGGCAGTGGGTCTTTCGGTTTCATTAACTGAAGCGTGATGGTTGCCTCCGGCCTGTGTTCAACTCCAACCCCAAGAGGTGCGAGAAGGCGGTCGACAGCTTCCGAAACGTTCAGTTCAGTTCAGTTCAGTTTATTGAGGGAAATAAGTGTAAGCCTTTGAGTACCCTATTTGCAACGTAAAAAAATGCGTGGTGTGCAGATAGATGTTCTGGGCTGAAGGAGTTCGAACACGCCCATAATGGGGGGACAAAATGAGAAGGAGTTACAGGGGGTGAGCTCGACTTCTCATCGCTCTTGGTCATTTCGGAACATAAATATCTCCAGATTCTTTTTAAAACTTTATATATATGGTGACATCACAACATCTGCGGGAAGGGCATTCCATGGTTTGACCATTCGAACAGAGAAGGAGAACTTTCGCACATCCAGCCGTGCCTGCTGAGTGCGCAGTTTTAACGGGTGACCTTGGAGGTTGGTCGTGGTAGCAAATTCAAAAAAGTCCTCGAAGGCCAGACTGCAATCCAACCCCTTTACAATGCGGAAGGCTTGCAAGAGATCTCCGCGAAGTGGCCTGTAACTCAAAGGAAAGAGGTTTAGATTTACTAGGCGGGTTGCATAAGGAAAGGAGCTTTGACCCCTAACCATTTTCGTGGCTCTCCTCAGGGCTCTTTCGAGGCAGTTTTGATCCTCAACAGCCCACGGCCTCCAAGCTTGTATGCGGTACTCCAAATGCGGTCGGACGAATGTTCCGAATGTCTTTGAGAAAACATCTTCGTCAAAGTCCATAAACGCACGCTTGATGGCGTACAGTACGGACATTGCGCTTTTTGCCACCCTCGAACAGTGGGCGGATGGTTTTAGGGAACTCGTCGGGAGCACACCGAGGTCGTTTTGGGCTTCGACCTCTTGTAGGGCTGCACCGCCCAGAAAGTAGCCTCTTGTGCTGGCGGATCTGGCTGTGTTGCCTAGGCGAAGTATGCTACATTTGGCAACGTTGAACCGCAGCAGCCAACGGTTTGACCACTCCTCCAACCGATTCAGGTTCATCTGCAGTCTGTCTTCATCGGCAGGACCCCGAATTACACTCCATATCTTCATGTCATCCGCCAACATTGCTACTTCACAGTCTAAATCTCTTGCGGCATCGTCCACGTAGATAAGGAACAAAATGGGTCCCAGTACTGAACCCTGAGGGACACCACTATCGACCATAGCCGGATCTGATTTTCCCCGACCGACGCACACAACCTGGTGTCGACCCACAAGAAAGTTTTCAATCCATTTAAGGAAGTTGCCACCGATCCCTATTTTTTTTCAGCCTTGTTTGTGTAGACTGATTGGAAAAACCGTGAAAAATACGCAGCTTTGTCCCTACTATCAGCTATCTCAACGCCATCAGTAGTCCTTATTAATGGCATTTGATGCCTGTTCCTTGTAAATCGTCGGAGGTAGCTGAAGAGCAATTGTGGGTTCTGCGTTGCTTTTTGTGGCAAGTTCTTCTTGAATTCCCGCCGCGTCTGCATTATGAGCTTCCTCAGTTTGTTCCTCTGTGTCTTGTTGGTGTTGAAATATTCAACTCGCCCAGTGAGGCAGTATTTTCTCCACAATTTGTGCTTCCTGTTGATTTCTTTCCTGAGGTGGCTATTTAGCCACCCAGGGCGTTTGTTCAGTCTTACACTAGTCAGTGTGCCGTGGTTGTTGATGAGCTGCAGAAGGACATTCTTGAACAGCTCCCAGTCATCGTTGGCACTTCCCGTATACAATGAGCCCCAGTCGAGACCGGATAAGTCTGCGCTCATCAGATTGAAGTCGCCCCAACTGCTCCAATAGTTGAGTGTCGGCGATTCGGTCTGTCCTAGGTGGTCGGTAGACAGTGAGGACATCGAGACACGGGGAACCGGTAGCCTTGATGGTCAACCAGATAGCTTCCGTACTGCACGCAAACTTGGTGGTGTTATCCGACACTGCCAGACCGTCATTCACATACACAACGATACCACCACCCTGACGATGTTCCCTGTCCCTCCGATAAATTTGGTATCCAGGCTGGGCTACTTCGTTATCGCTAATATTCCCGGACAGCCAGGTCTCAGTTACTGCTAAAACATCTGGAGACAGCTCAACAAGGCAAAGTTTTAGTTCGTCTAGTTTCGATATGAGGCTTTGGGCATTCGTGTACAAGCACCTCAGTTTAGCACCAGCCGAATTTCCCGTTGCATTTGTTACATCTGTGAGCATTACTCCGTTATCACGGACGTCGTGTTCTCTAGGCTCTTCCGTTGCCTGATTGGTTCCATTTACATGCGTTGTTTCAGTCAGATCACTGGACGCTACGGCCTCACTTGTGTTGGCGCCTTGATCAGGTGGTTCAACGAAGGTGTCTGTTTTAGCTGAGTAGCTGTCGTCGTTCGTAGTATTACAGGCTGGTTCCACTGAAACGGCATATATTTCCGAACTACCTTCCCCTTGAAGATAGCCAGATTGTGTTCGCCATCCTTCAGTCTTGACATATGGAAGCACTCGCCATACTTTGGTGTCCGTGCGGTTAGGCCTTTCGTCCCTTTTGCGTATGTACCGGTTGACAAAGTTGCGCGGATAACCATTGGCTTTGAAGACGCGTCGGAGGTATTGTAGTTCGGCTATCTTGTCTTCCGGCTCACTGCAGTGCGTTTGGACACGCCAATAGAGCGTCCTTACACAACTGCGTTTGTGGCTGACTGGGCGGTTTTTGTTGAAGTTCAGTACTTGCATCGTATTTGTCGCTTTCCTGAACACGTTGGTCTTTAGTCCACCAGAATCCTTGCAGCATACGAGGACATCCAGGAAGGCCAGCTGGTTGTTCTCTTCTTCCTCCATCGTAAATTTTATGTCCGGGAAGACCGCATTCAGACGTTCCTTAAATGTCGGCAGTTGATCCCGGTCGATAACGACAAAGGTATTTACACATACAGGACCCAGAACTTCGGTTTGTTGTGTTGGAAGACCAACGACTCTAACCGTTGCAGGACCGCCTCGGCGATGAACCCCGAAATCGGCGAACCCATTAGTGTGCCCTTCACCTGTTCATTGATTGTCCCGTCGAACGTGAAGTGCGTCCTGAGACAGAGCTGAAGGAGCTGAAGGACTTGGGCGCGTCCAAGACGATTCTCCGTTTCATCGTATTTACTTTGTAGAAGCAGCTCGACTGTCTCGATCGCCAGGTCCTGTGGAATAGAAGTAAAAAGGGATGTAATATCAAAATGTACCATGACGTCATTTGGATGGAGGCTTACCCCTTTTAGTTTCTCCAGGAATTCTGCTGATGAAGAGACCGTGGTGTCTGACTCAGCGGTCAGGAACTTGAGACGCCGGAACAGCCACTTAGCCAGTCCGTACTTTGGAGTCCCTTTGAGCGACACGATGGGTCGGAAAGGAGCGCCGTCTTTGTGCGTCTTAGTGCATCTGTGTGAATCTTCTCTTGTTTTTTTATTCCCTTTCTTCTTTTCGTTGCCCTATGCCAAACATATCGTGACGCAGTAAGAGACTGGGTGCTTAAATTAGTAACTTGATACGTGTTGTTGACTGCTTCGCCGAAAAATCCAGAGTTGCTTGGGGACGAGCAATCTGATGAAGGATCTACATAGGCTGTCGTCATTTGAAGTCTAATTTTGCTTGAATCAGGCTTTCTTAGTATTTATTTGTATTGTCGAGCCGATGACACGGCAGAAATCTGTTGGAAACGTGTCCTGGAGTCTTTTGTGTTTGCCGATTGCATAGAAAATTAATTCTACTGCCTGTTTTTAAATATTTGCTTTTGAACTTCTCTATGTCCTTTAAATTCCTGTTTTGGACGCAAACGCTCTTTGGATTTCCGTGCAGTTTCCGACCTGATCAAGTTTATTCAAATGTCTGGACCAGCGTTTTAGAAGACGACTTTGATCTAAATATGGAGCAAATCGACTCATGCAAAGCCTTCGATAGTGTCCTGTATGAACGCTCTTGCTAAACTGAGTGCTCTTGACATCGGAGGAAAGCATGTGATCTATAAACGCAACTTACGATTTCGTAAAAATAACGTGTTTATATCGGACAGGCTAAACAGAATTGGACTAATATGACTAGTGACGTTTTCCAACATTCGGATCTAAGACCCACACTTTTCATTCCTTATGTTAACAGAAGCCTTATTATTGCCCCGACAGCTTATGACATAGGATGACCCTAGTCATTATGGACATCTGGCCCGCTTCCGTAAAGAAAGGGAAGCTGGACACTAGCAGATAGGGCATTGTATTTTGTACAGAATGATTACAGGACGAGTTGGAAAAAGTTGGCCGCCGGATGAGGGCACACGTCCGCCGCTGCGAGTGCAGGTATCGCCAAAGACAATTTGGAGGAAGAATATCTGAGTCAGTTTCGAAATTGATCGGCCGATTTGGATAGCTGTGATCAATCGAGAACCAGTTTATCACCGATGTTGACAGTCCATTTGTTGTCCCCAACGACTTCAACATCGTGCCTCGCAACACGGCGGAATAACGGACCGTGCCTTGGGCATTATTTTTTTGTACTATTTGTAGACTTTCGTTGCACTTACCGTACTCTCTTCCCCTTCATTTACCTTAGTCCGATGTCAAAACAGATTTCAGAAGATTGGAGGTGGGCTCGGTTGCAGTGGCTATCAAAGTTAAACAGATAACCTGTGCGTGACAAATGTCTGGCTCGCGCAAGATGAACCAGGTTTGCACACGGACAAAAATTGGTGGCTCGGACCCCAAGTAAGTGGTAGCTTCATAGAAGTCACATAAAGTAGGAGCCACGTCCATCTGACACTTTATCCAGTACGGGAGGACTGAGTCGTCCCGTCAGTTAGCAGTCTTTAGCGCGTCGAGATCGTTTAAGGCGACATCAGATTATTTAGGATGAGGGATATACGCTTAGTGCGGTGAGGGCACAGTGCCTAGATTAGACCTTACCCTCACTTTCGTCTCCCAGACACCACTTCACCTACAAAGATGATGAGTTTTCTCATGGGGGGACTGGGCGGCAGAGCTGAAAACCCCGTTTGCGGGTGTCACATGAGACCTGACCCCCACGCAACACCCCAGGTCCTCGCTCAAAGGGGGTCGCGGCTCGAATCTCACATGCGTTGCGGTGCGATAGAGACCATATTAGGAAGCGGGGGAATGTCAGTCTTCCCATCTATGGGGTAACCGTTTATTCTATGCCATAGTTGGGTAATGTGACCGACTACGTTCATGCGATGGCCGATTAGGACCGCTTGTCGAGATATGTGCTCACTTCGTCCTCATTGGCCAGCCGGTGCTTTACACATTCACCCTGACTGGTCAGCGTGTGCTACGTGTACGTCGCGCGATAGACGTCATTACGCTTTACTATGTCGTAGTGTGTGCGCGCGTGACTCTGTTGACATGACTTCATTGTTGCCCACTTTGCTTTACCTGTTGTTTACATGTGTTTGACTTTGAACATATAAGCTAACGTTTTTTCAAGACAGACGTCTCGGTGGACAATAAAGAAACATATTGTTCAAGATGCAGAGTCAGAATGTCGTGAAATAACTTATGTAGTACGTTTACGCTCCCAGACGGACCAAGACGCCCGGATACCTCTGCCTAAAGGTAGCGCGCCAAGCGATGTGTGAGCAGATCTGCAGATATGTCTTTCTCTAAAAGGCAGTTTTTTGAATTGCTCATTTAACAGCCCTGCAGTCAGCAGTTTGTCATCTGATCAAGAGGAGAACAGTACCTACACCTGCTTCCCTCGTAGTCCTCCGTCCATAAGACGGTAAGAAATTGGCCGGTAAAATCCGGCTTGGCACATGTGCACTTGCTTAATCTGCTTGAAATATTTCAATCAGTGGTCCCATACATGCCCACTAACCCTCGTACGCTTTTAAGGGCGTCATGTGGTTTTTAAATGGATTATGGAATCGATTTAAAAGATTCATTAAGAAGTGCCTGATTTTGAAAGGCAACGACAAGGGCGTAGTTAGATAAGCAACAGATGGCCTGTCACTCTTTCGGAAGACTAAAGCAGAACTGTGGCCAATCCTAGAAATGATTTCCAGACCGTTCTCATAAATTATATTCCGCTAGCCATCTAAAAAATACAAGGGGATCCCTGCGACGTTGAAGCGTTTTGTAGGCAGACCGTTGACGAGATTAGATCCCTTAATGAAAGTGGAATTCAGTACCGTATTTGCAGTCACCTGCTGCATTTAGTGTGGCAGCACTCTAGACACCTTTTCACCATTCCCTTGTGAAATCTACCTAAGAGAAGTATGTAAAATGCTCAGGAAAACCTCTCATCCTCTGCAGCAAATCGTCAGAAGGTTGAGCGAGATAGATTTGCAGATATGAGACTCATAAAGTTTGGAACAAGACTGAGAGGAGGACAACGATCTAACTGTTTAGATCCTTTTTTCAGTAAAGAAGAAGGATTCATAAGGGAAGTGAATCCACAATCTCCACTCGGTTTAAACAATCATATTGCTTTTACCTGCGTGTGCTCTCTCCTATGAAACCAGCAACCAAAAATCAAGTGACGCAGAAATATCTGGAAGGGTGACTTTAACTCAATGAAACGTAATTTTTTGAAGGAAACCTGGTTAGTCAATATGGAAGATTCGGAAGAATTCTGGCAGTACTTTCGCGGGATTATAAAGCGTCTAATTGACTTCAATTGTCCAATAAAAATAACAAGACCATGCGCGACAGCAGGGGGCTGCTCCGATGACAGAGAAGTTCATGACGAACAAACAAATGCTGTGGAAAAAGTATTTTCATCTTCAAGATCCAGGAAAATTCGCCAGATATAAGGAGCAGCGCAATAAATGCCACAAACAATTACGAGTTGCTAGAACTCCTTTCGAACGCCGACTGACAGCAGAATCCATTAAATGTCCCAAGAAGTTTTATAGGTACATCCTCAGTAGGAGAAAACATACGGATGAAATTGCGTGTCAAAAAGATAGAATCGGAAACTTATTATTTGAAGGGCCACAGAAGGTATAATTACTCTCTCAACTTTTTCAATCGGTTTTTATGGAGGAGTCCCC